TATTAACTCACATTAGATATGATCCATCAGTAGTAGCGGCTATCTTGGCGGAGACGGACAAGCATTTGTCAAGCATTGGAAGGAGGCCTATGGGAGACATTCAAAATACCTCTCCAACAGTATGCGATAAGTCAATTTAGTGCTGATGGGTGATACCCACCCAATATCTATTCAGTGTCACGTTCCTTGGGCCACGGTTGAGATGAACTCCTCTACCTATCAAGCCCCAAAAGAGGATACAGCCAGAGCCAGGTGACCATAACCATTCACGTTGAAAAATTGCTCCGTGCATCCAGTGTGCTCGCACTACTACTTCTCATTTCGAGCTACGTTCCTCAACTACTCGTTGTGTCCTCACTGAGGAGGCTTTTGATCAAGTCTATCACAATTGGTTTATCTGAGTTGTAGGTTTGATTTAACAACGGCCTTGTTGAAGCAACAAGAAGCGCTTGACGCTCTAGCGTTCACCACTGAGAGTCTCCGATCAGTGAGGCTGAGAAGTGGCGGAGGTGTGGTATGGTTGCCACTTGTTGTTTTTAGAGTCAGCAAAGCATGTATGAGGGCATTCGAGGGGAGTTACGGCAATGGGCGGTTGCGGCTGATAAGAAATTGGCAGAGCATTTGGATAAGTGTCGAAGGTGGTTTATCCCATATGCCGGGCGTGGGTGTCGAACCCGGAACCTCCGGCACAAACAGGGTTCGTCTTCCTTCCCCTAATCCGTATCCCCTTTTGAGTCGTGATTGTCGCAACTCACGTGCTCACCACACAATCTCCGTATTCATGCATTTCAGGGAAGTGGCTGCTTCTCGTGAGGAGTGTCGTAAAGAAACGCACGAGGTCCTCGAGCAGGCCTCTAAGGGGGATCGGAAGGCTCTGATTGACCTGAAAGCGATGGTCTGTAGTCCCCCCTATCCCACATACACATTCGTGATATAGGTTGAGGATCTTCGTAGTGAGGTGGAGGAAGTATCTTCGGAGATGAGGTGAGGCTGAACTAGGTAGGAGGACCACTATCACCCTAGTAGGAAGGACACTCACACGCTTGAGAGCGTCGACTCACGCATCGTGCAGAGCACACGCGAGGTGGAGGATAGAATGCTGTCGAAGTAGGCCATAGTTGGAGGAGCTTGAGTTCCCTATGGTGATGGCTTGGCTCATATTATCAATTGAAATGATGATGAGGCATATGACCATCCAGCGCTGTAAGTGAATAGAAGAGTCGCTTTAGGATGAGTGAGAGAGAGAACGAGATGAAGGTAACTATAGAGGAGTTGGAAGAGCGGTTCGAGGGGCGCCTCAATGGAGGGCAGTTGGAAGTCCGCATGGATGCAGTGGGTTACACGCTTCCCTGGCTGGGCATTCGGATGTGATGTCGTCAGTTATCGAGTGAGTTGGCGGACCTACGTGCCACCACTAAGGACTCTCTACAGTGCTTGGATGCTGAAGTAGTTGAGGAATCCCCCCCTCAAGGGGGATTCGTTGTGAGGTTAGGTTAAGTTGGGAATTGGAAGGCAGCCTTCAGAGGTGCAGACGGAGGCCTCCGAGGAGATGGAGAGCACCAATGCTGAGGTAAGCATCACAGTAGTCAACATCATCATGATGCATTACAGATTGGGAATAGTGTCGAGTCTGGGACCAACGGGATGATCGAAGTGAGATTGGAAGAGTTAACGAGAGAACATCGAGTAGAGGGTATTTCTGCAAGTGGCGTGGTATTGATGATGATGATTATAGTATCTACAAGAGCACGCGAGGGGCCTGGCAGAGACTCTTT